TATTTCAATCAAAAAAAGAAAAAATTATATTTAAATTTTTTATTAGCGGTAGAAAAAATCAGTGTATTGCGAAAGATATGAGCTAAGTATACAAGAGGGAGTAGGTAAATAAGAATTGGGTGTGGGTGACAAAAGGTGAGAAAACAAAAACAAAGCCAAACTGCTTGGTGCTAACGGGCGATCCAAGTAGAGGTACCTATTTCAATAGCCATGTTTGACATATCACGCGTTAGTCGTGTCAGCATTGTTTGGCATTTCATCATGGAAAGACTGACGCTTTATTCAGGTTTACAAATCTTTCAACTTCATTACGAAAATTTACGTTCTGTAAAGAATGTGTTTCACACACTTCGCTCAATTTATGGTCTACATAATCGGCCTACTGAGCATTCGCAACACCATCATCGATCTGATCATCCCAGATCACTTCCAGCACGCGATAAGTGTCGACTCAAAATATCCCCTGCGGGTTACGGGTTCAAGAATTTACCAGCATTAAGCCATGCCTGTCGTAAGAAGCAACTAAAAATTGTTTCCGCGACTCTTTCTTCTCTTTATATCGGAACGACACGGATTTTTATCTAGCCTAGTACTGTCCTTCCCGCAACATTCCTCAAAAAGTAGAAGTGTATGAGCAAAAGTGTCCTCATGTCAACACTCTCGTTATAAATTCAAAGTCAGATGCTTTCAGAAAAAATATAATGGCTTCGCACAGTGGTTCCAAAAACCAGAAGCGTGTCAAAAACTCTAGAAAATTCTTAAATGACTGGAAAATGTGTTACTCGGTGGTTTTCAAGGTTGACGAATTTTATTTTCTAAAAAAAAATAGTAACACATTTAATACTTTAATTTATAATCTTATTTTTTTGAGAAACATAATTAATTCAGATTACGGGTGATGAAGAACAAAAGAATTTGAGTTTCAATTATATTGGATGAGGGCATAAGTTCGTGCCCGATTTCAAGTGCAAACTAAAATTGAAATTTTTTGAAGAAAGTGCTTTTATTAATCAATTATGTATTCGCCATCATGTTCGGCAATCCACTTCCAACATTCAACCAATTTACGGATGCCTGATTCATAGAAATCGGGCGGTTTCTCGTTGACGTCTTCCACATTTTTAAATTTTTTTTCATTCAAATTATTCTGCAGCGATCGAAACAAATGCCGAAATGTCGAAATACGTGAGTTATTCGCAACTAAAGTCCTTAGAACATCGTCGTCAAGCTCAGAAGGCCGTCCACTGCGAGGTTGATCTTCGAGGTTCAAATCTCCAGAACGAAATTTCACGAACCATTTCTTTACTGTGCGGAGTGCTGGAGCACGGTCCAAATAAACTTCGCGAATATCTTTAGTTGCAGCGCCTACAGTTTTTCCTTTGCGGAATTCATATAACATAATATGACGCATCTTCCATGCGTCTTTTCACTAAGCAACTCAAATCAAAATTAAGTTATTTTATGCTTGATTTAGAATTCGGACTGTCACCTTTCCAACGATATATAATATGTATATATTTCTTTCACGAGCGCCACTCTCAAACGATTCGAACGGCATCCAGCGGTATCGGGCACGAACTTATGCACTCATCCAATACAAAATATTTATAAAATTATTGTCGCAGAAAGTATCAAATTAAAAAAATGGGGAAAGTTGGGGCAAATTTTCTTTTTTTTTTAAGGAAGCATAAATATATACGGAATACGAGAAAAAATATTTGTGAGTGGGATGTCGTGGGGCTCTTGACTTTTCCACTATCTTATTTTTAATTTTGGAAATATATAACCACTTAAAAGCGTTATTACAAATGTTTCATAAACAAATTCTGAACAATTTTCAATTTCCTTGCGTTTGAAATATACACTCGATGTGACGCAACGGACGCCTAGACCAGAAATGCTTCTAACGGATATTAAACATACCAACCCAACTATTTTAGATATTGAAAGTACCCAATTCAAACTTTTTCTGGCTTTTGGCCACGTTTTTGGATTTTGAAATCACGGGTTTTATGATTTTGATTTGGAAAAACTTTAGAGTCTCGAAATATATACAAATACAAAACCAGAAACTTTGGTTACAACGTGTTTTATATGCCGAAAATGTAATATTATATAAAACTCTTTGTCACACAGCCAAAATAATGCTTTTATGTTTTCATCATGAAAGAAAATTTTTAACATTTACCTTTAATATCTCATGAGAATATACGTGAGAGAGAGTTACGGTAATTTTCCGATAGTGGTATATATCGTATAATAAATAAAATAACGCAGTAAGGGCATACCTTGAACATATAATGTAAAATATTAAATTCCCCAGCTTTCATGAGCACCCTTAATGAAGTTTTAGTATATAGAAACGCTATTGAGTGTTTCAATAAAAACAAATTTTCTATTAAAATATTAATGTTGAACGAAAAATTAAAATTCGTTGGGAATAAAAACTTCTCTTTCACATTCATTTTTTTTTTCAAATTAATAATTACCTTAACAACTTAATCTGCTTTACTATTTAAGTAATGAAGGCATTCAATAATAATTGAATATAAAGTGAACAACAGATTAAGAGTTTAATTATTTATAATTGGTTTATAATGTCATTACAATAATTGGCAAAAAATGATTGACACAATAAATAAATGTTGGAAATTTTAAAAACCAACGGACCTAAATATTATAGTTCAGGTATATATATATACATATATATATGTAAAAAATTAAATTAAGGTATTTATTGTTTTTTTTTTATCATGTATTCTTAATGAATATAAATTTATAGGGGAAGTATGCAGGTGGTGGTCACCGTTGCCTTTTGGTTTCATAATAATTGACAAAATTCATATTAGGCGTATATATACATATATACCCATGGTAGTTAGAGACCTCAGCTAACTTTCAGTGAAGGAATTAATTGGATTAATGAAACTGATTTCTTGTATCAGGTATCTAGTAAAGTGATCAAACAAAACAAAACAAATTTCGTACTCGGTTATGGACATTTTTGTAGCTGTTTGTAGCCGTTAAAAATGAAAAAAATACAATATTTATAAATAAAGCGAAAATAATCTTCGAAATCGTAAGCTTAATGTCTGCTAGAGAAGTAGCTCACACGTACAAGGCACTCCAAATGCACCGGATGTCCACATTCATTGCTTGCGATGACGTTCAAGGCTGTTAATATCCGTGTCCAGGATGTCCAGACTGAAGTCCAGACCATGTTTTATGGAGTCCAGAGGCTGTAATCACGGCTGAACTCCTAAAAAACATTACTTTTTACAAATAAAGTGTACTCAATTTTGGAACAGCTTTTCTAACTGTTTCGAGGAATACCGCGAGCCTTAGCAGTACCGTTGATAAGTTTTTAGTCCACCTGGCAACACTTAATATCTTTCAACAGTACATTAAATCCAAATAGTGACAAAATACGTTACGTCAACATAAGCAATAATATTTCTTACCCAAAAGCACTCATTAATTGAACCAAAAAACAAAAAAAAAATGTGTTCATAACCGGTTACGTTAAGGTGACAATAACTGGGAATGGCAATCATTTTCCGACCTTTTCGATCAATTTGGGGCTCTGAAAATCTTCACATAATTGAAGTGAGGTCTTTACAGTCAAAAAAAAAAACAACTGTCTGCTGCGCTCTTTGGCCCGAAACGAAACCGACTTTTTTGGCCACACAACACGAGCGAATATGGCTTTATTGAGAAAGAGATTTCATTTTGGCGATGGCAATTTGCTATCAAGGTCGTGCGGCTTGACAATGTCGGACTTTTTGAGTTGGACTACGCGCAAGACCATGTTTATGCAGAAAACCTTTTAAAAGAAGACATGTAATATCGTATATAAAATTCTCGTATCAGAGAGTTTTTAATATATGTACCTTCTTCGGAACGGCTGGTCCGATGTCTACGATATTAGAATCGGCCAACATCTATTTTTCACAATAGGAAGGTGACCAGGGCTTGCCGAGTTTGAAAGTATCGTATTTATGGTTGCAAGAAATAAAACAAGAGAATTTGTTTCCCAAATTGGCAAATGACCTGACGCCAGATTTCCAGTGTCCACTAACTTAACTTTGACTTTGGCATTGATTCAAAAAGAGCTCTTGGTATGAGACGTGTGGTTAACTTTTAGTACAAATGCAGTCTCGCTCTAATCTTTTTTCGATCAATTAATCGTATATAATGGAAGTAGATTTTTACGAAAAGCAGCGGCCGTGGTAGCCGAGTCGTTAGCACTGCGTACTGCCATTCGGAAGGCTCGGGTTCGATTCCCCGTGCGACCAACACCCAAAAGTTATAGAAAATTAATTTAAATAAATAATTAAGCTAAACTTTTTAATTGCGGTCGCTCCTCGGCAGGGAATGTCAACCCTCCGAGTGTATTTCTGACATGAAATAAAGCTCCTCATAAGAAACCTTATCAGCCGTTCGGAGTTGGCTTAGTATAAACTGTAGGTCCCTCCATTTATTAGAAAAACATCAAGACACAAAACCACCAACTGGAGGAGGAGTTTGGCGGTTACAGTGTGCCAATCATATATAAATATATTCCGGGAAGTGAATCAGACACCCACCGATTTATACGAGAAAATATTGTTTATGATTCGATCAACTTGAAATTTAATGGATTGGCAATTTATTGAACAGCTTAACATTTTGAAGACGGTTCCAAATGACGGTTGATTGAAATTTGATTTTAATTTATTTCTTATTATGCTTATTTCTTGACTACTGAATTCTATGAGACGACAAAGCGCGCATAAGAAAATGGAAGGGGTCTGCGCATGAATTTCGCCTAATTAGTCTATGTTGCCTGTTGATTGTTGTTAGCTCTTGCGCCGAGAAACTAATCGGCTACTATCATTTTGCCTTTTCCAGAACGCAGAAAAAGCAAACAATGCAAATATTTCTAATGCCAATTTAAAATATTTAAATAATTCATATGAATAAATGTATATCAAAAATAGTTTTTAAGCACCGGAACTTACCATTTTGAATTTTAAATGTAGTCCAAAAGAGCTTGAGCAAAAGCAATGCAAAGTGTGTATGTACCGTTGTTGTAGTAAAATTCACAATATAACTGCTGTAGTCAGCGTATATAGGTGTGTATATAGTTCATTTACCTTTGTTTTATATTTATTTTAAGTATTTTTATTTTTATTTTTATATATAGGGCAGGGAGCTCTTAAAACATTTCAATTTTAAAGCAATAAAACGAAAGGGAACATTTGCAATTCGACTTGTTGAATCCTTGGTGCAGTTGGGCGTGAATTTTCCAACCTTCACAGCTGGACACGGTGATCGCAAAGGATTTTCGTGACTTTGTTGTGTCACGCTGGTGTGCATGCGTGCGAAACAAATGATAAGCGAGAGGATGGCGTTGCGCACAGACTCAACTATTAGCACAATGAGACTTACATATACACATATACATATGTATGTAAAGCAAACAATTGAAATTTGCGCGTATGCAGATATTGATACAGTTATATCGATTAACCGTTTCGAATCGCAGTTGGACTTTTTATGCTTTTTTAACTTTTCGATGAACGGAAATGCCGTTTTATCGTTAACGTGATTTTTGTTGTGGTTTTATTATTATTGTAGTTGTTAATGCAATTCGTTTATTTTTTTTTTTTTTTGTTAGAGAATAAAGCGACTTTTATTGCCAAGCTTGTATGTTTGCTTTCACTTTCCAATTCACTTTACAAACTTTTTTCAGCCCATTCACTTCACATCAACTTCCTTTTTCCTCTTGGTTTTGTTGACTTTTTTTATTTACGTTGTCACTCGACTTTTCCAATGGCTTCATTCGTTTTGTTTGCACTAATTTTTCCTTACGTTAGCGCTTGGTCAGCTTCACTTTCGACACCCACCACTCTGCTGTAAAATAGAATAAAAATAAAGAAATATTTGTACACGTTTTTCATTAAAAAAATAAATGGAAATGCATAAAAGCATGTAAAATAAATTCCCTTCCGACGACTGTTAAAAATGTAAATAAATTTAAAAATAATCCCCAAAATCAATATAGGAAATTTTGGAAAAAAAACAGGAAATATGCACATACATACATGCATAATGTCTATTGAAAATGGCCGAGTTTATAAGCCGTGTAAAACAAAACCAAAAAAGTTTCGCTTTGGTTTTTGATGTTTTCGGCGTAAAATATAAGCGTTGGTGAATGCAGCAAGTAGAATAAATGAATATACACAATTTATCAACAAAGCACTAAGGTAGCGAATAAATTATTAAAAATTCAGTTGATGAAGATCACACAATGACTTCCAAATAGAGAAAGAACTAAAACTGTTTTGCATAAATTGAAACTCAAACCTAGAAGGTCTAGCTTTCTCACTACGACGAGTCTTATCTATTTACAATTTTCAGTTTCCCGTTCATCGATCTTGCTCTCATATTTTGTACAGCACCCGTCCTCGTTGAGATGTTGATAGTTGCAGCTGAACAACACGATACGCTTCGTGTATGTAACGAATTTTGAAATGTACGTTGGCGAAAGGACAAACGATGAACTCTGTGCGAGTTTTATGTTTGAGAATTGTTCTGTTAAGTTTTTGCTTTCCCATTTTTTTTGTGATTTTTCAGCAAGAATAAAAGTACCTCAAAAAATATGCCAATGAATAAAATGAAAATTTCTCACACAAAGTGGCAAAATGTACGAATCGTATGATTAGAGAAGTAGACGTTGAATGAGGCGAAGCAGGATCTGATGTGACCACAAATGGGGGTTGGGAAATATTATCACGGTTAAAATGCCGCTAAAGACTTTATGGAAAGCTTATAACATAGCCATTTGTCATAAACATAATTAAACCAAGGTCGTGTTATAGCCTTAAATGTCTATTCCAGTTATGAATTTTTTTATAAAAAAATTTGTTTTTAATGAATTCATTGATAGATGCTTTAATAAAAAAAAATATTCACAATCAGAGTTTAATTTTATTAGCATTTTTTTGTATTATAGTTGAAAAAATCTGCATAAAACAAGTTTATGAAATACATTTTTGAAATATCAAATTAGAGCTCTGACTTTCGATTCGATTAATGTTCAAATAAAAATAAAAATTTTTTAAAAAGCATTAGTAATCAAACGATAAAATCTTTTTTTTTAAATTCCAGCCTTTCCACATTTCAAAATTCCACAAAACCTCACAATTTAATCGAAAATTTTTATGAAGGATTCAAAAAAAAAACATTCAAGGTTCTGCAGCTATTGTAATGATTTTCGGCCGAGCTCCTTCTCCTCGAATTTGTGATTTGCGTCGAGATATTGTTTTTCAACAAATTACTTAATCTACAGTTCATTTTTAGCCGTGTGCGATCGGAAGATGGACTTTTTTGAGGAGCTTTTATTTTCAAGGCTGAAATACATTCTGATCACAACTAGAGAAAAATGTAGGCCCTGTGGTGTAGGAGTTGCAAGATTTTCCACGGCAAGGCATGCATGCCGTAAGTGGCGACTAAAATCCAAAAGTTCCCTAGCTTTTTATACGTCACTTCCATAACACAACAACAACAACAACAACAACAACAACAACAACAATGCCAACAACAGGAAAGAAATGTTTTTTCCATTATTTTCATCACTTGCGGCCGCCACATGTAACGAAGAAAAATCCCATTCCTCCCCAACGAGTGTCTGTTTGGTGCGGCATGGGCCCCGGTGTCATCGCTGGTGTGTTCTTGATCGGAAGAAGGTTCTGCCGTTACCGACAATGCAATTCTTGTATTATTGTACATTATATATTAGAAGACTTTTGATTTAAAATTTCACTTAAATATACTGCAAAACCATACGTGGGTAAATCAGCTATATGGAAGCTATAAGTTACTGTTACCACATCTAAGATTTCTCGACAAAAAACTGCTATGTTTACCACTTTTGAGATTGCCTTAGTCATTATAGAACTATTTAATGTTTTACTCATCAGTGCAAAAACAAATACCTGCAAATTCTCGGCCCCTTGATGCTTCATATCGCAAAAAATATTAATTCCAGTTGGAATGACTTTTTAAGAAAATAATGCTTATGAAAATTTTCATTCCTGGCATGATAAGTACCTAGCTTTTGCTCTCCGTTGATAACGAATTTACTAAATTATAAAAAATTTTCTAGGGCACGCCTATAATTTCTTGGAAATTTTTGCAAACAATTTGTGGATGCATATATGGAAAGTGATTAACAATTTAATTCCAGTGATTGCCTATCATCAACACTTGCTTCAAAAAAAAAAAAAAAAAAAATAGAAGGATGTAATTGAAATATTGTTTAAATTAAAAATTTATTTGTTTCTATTCAAATTGACACCAGTAAAGCAAATACGTAGTATTTTCGGCAACTGCCGGAAGCTGACTGAACAATATATTTCAAAGTCTACTCTAAATTTTAGTGATGTGTGTAGTAATATTTCAAATGGAAATCAAATACAGCTCAACTGAAGTAAAAAACGAAAAAAATTCAATTTGCTGCCGGAAGCGGCTTATCTTGTTGAATAAACATATGTAAATAGAGTAAATATTTTTAATGCCGAACAGATGAGTTTTGAATATAAATTTCACACCTAATGAACGCTTAATGATATATAAAAAATAATAATAAAATAATCCACAAATTAAAACAAAAAAAAAATAAAAAGTTAATGAAATTTATGTGTGTATTTTTTATTTACAAATAAATAACGGATTAACCGGTTTCTTCGAGCACGCCGCTGTGCATTTTACTAGATTTAGGGCACCATGTATGTATGTATATATTCGAGAAAAAACCTTTAATAATATAAGTAAAGCTCCCCTCCGCCAATGTCTGTCTGTCTGTTCGCGATAAACTTAAAAACTGATGAAATTATTTTTATGCGGTTTCCACAAGCATGAAGAGTAAATTTTCGGAAAAATTTCTATTACTAATTTTTTATATTTTATTTAATTTGTAAAAAAAAAATTATAATAAAATAATTTTCATATTCTGAGAGTTTACACTATTTTTAGGGGCACACCAAGTGTGAAATTTCAAAAAAAAAATTATATTTTTTACATATTTCGGCAGGCTATATTAAAATTTCGGATCGATATCTCAAATAGTTTTAGAGTTATAGCAATTTAAAGAGCAACCGCTCGGAGATTCTCATTAGCTACGAGTGAAAACGATAATTTTATCTTTAAACGCGTTTTTCTCGAAACTGCATTTTCCGAATTTGCTGCAGTGATTACTCAAAAACAAATGATCCGATCACTATCGATTCTTTTTTACATTTTCTATATATAGTTCTCCGTACCATGATCTACCGATTTGTGATCTGACCAAAATTTTTGTGTAAAATTCGACGATATTTTTAAAAATGCCGCCATATTGTCAATTTCGGATTTTTTTTTATCGTAGGTCATTATACAGGCAATATTATCTTCTCGAGAATTTTTTAATTTAGATTTCATCCACGGAGAATGCCGGAAGAAGGACCTTTGGACCTTGAAGGACCTTTTTTTCACGCCGTTGGAGATCGACTATAACTTAAAAAATAATTAGTTTTTTTCTTCAGAAATTTCACTTTATATTCTCGAAACATGTATAAATATATTCTCAAAATTGTGAAAGAATTGATAAAATATTGTTTTTAATGAAAATTCCCAAAAATCACCTTTTTTTCAGGCCATTACACTAGGTGTGCCTCTTAATTCAAAAAGTACTTAAAATTTTTTTAAGAATTTTTTAGCAAATACTATTATAGTAAGCTACATATACAGCAAATATACTTGCAAATTAGGTTCAAGAAACTATGCATTCACTTAGAGTGCACATCGCATAGCATGTAAAGCTGAAAAGTCTTCTTAGTTACTCCGATTCGGAAGAAGTGCATACATTTTTACTAGATTTAAATATTGAAATAGTTAGAAAAGTTGTCCGAGAATCTAAGTATTTATGTAATCTGAATATTTGTTAGTTTTTTTTTTTTATACATATCAAGTGTAATATAGGAATTATGACGAACTCCGGATTACCGCACGAAGTGGAGTTCGTTTTGTATTGCCGCACACGTCCGTCTATGTACACATCGTGAGAGTAGGACCTTCCAACTACTTTCCAATTGGAGGAGTATATCCTTGTCACTGTTGGATTATTACGAACTAATTTGAAAAGGAGGGGAATAGCATCATAAACCGACATTTCCAGAGGTGAGTAGTACCTCAAAATGACTCATCTGTTATAAAAAAAGGAGAGGAGTGCAAGATCTGGCTTGTGCAGTCGTCTCACGACTCCTGTCTTCTTAGTTTGCAGTTGGCTTTTTTAATACCGCTGATGAGTTTTAATACAGATGAGTTAAATGCCTGTGGGCAGTTAGATTTTCGTCCGTCGTCTGGCCCGATTTGCTTGTTGTTTCTTTATTTTAACAATTCGCAACATCAATTATATAATAATATTATACGAGTATATAATTAAACATTTTATAGATTTACATGCTTTAACCCTTATGTTCATACCTAAACTTAGCGACGATATATTAACGCTCGGCATACCCGGGTAACCATTTCCCAAAATTCTCTATTGTTTAATATTTTAGTGAAACTGTTTGAGTAAGTTAAAAAAAATACGCTGTAGAAATGTATTTAACAAGAAAAATTTCATAAGGACACCTCAGGTAGTGGACACACTCTCAAATGCTTGGAGCAGAGCAGCTGCTTTCTATATTGAAAATAATGTCAAGGTCATTTATGGCCATTTCTACATCGTATTAGAGGAAATGTTAGTTCTCTTCAGTATGGTTTGGTCCTAGTAAAGTGACAAAAACAATGATAACTAAATTTAGAATTGCAAATATGCAATTATATGTACATATGTATTATATAATTTTTGTATAACCAATATTTTC